AGGGGTGACCACAATGAAGGCGAAAATTCCAACAAAAATCATGACATGAAGTGAACCAAAATTAAACATGATCAGGCTAGGATCACATTTGCTGGTTGTGTAACCATACTGCCATACTGCAGGAAAGCAACTTTGAATCTCTCAAACCAGGCCTAGGGCCTGTTTTAGGCCATTAAGAGCCTTATTAAGATATATGCTAGTGTTGAATCCTCATCAACTCAACCTTTTGATCAAGAGATGCATCAGTTTCGTGGTGGTCACAGAGGTGCTCGTGGAAGTCACACTAGTAGAGTGTGCTAGAGGTAAAGGACGTTTGCTCCAAATTTGGCCATGCAGCTTTGGCTTGTTGGCACATGTTCAATCAAAGCTATAATCCACCTGTATCTACTGCCAGTCCGTATAATCAAGGCTCATGGTCCAACTCTTGTATTGGTTATGGTTCTTGTAATTCAAATGTGTGGATGAAACACCATCGTTGTTTCCAGACTCTGGGGCTTCATTTCATGTTACCAATGATGCCAAAAACCTTCAACAACTAACTCTTGTTGAATGTCCTGATTAAATCTTCATGGGAAATGGACAAGGTTTGCGTTTTCACTCATCAGGTTCTAGTGTCTTCACTTAACCCACTCGCTCCCACACACCTTTCACCTTTCACAATCTCTTACTCATTTCCACTAAAATTAAGAATCTCATTAGTGTCAGCCAATTTTGTCGAGATAATGATGTTCATTTCTTATTTTCTATTGACAAATGTCTTGTCATATCTCAGGTCACCAATGATATCCTGCTTGAAGATCAGGTTGGCAAGGATGGACTCTATGAGTTCCCTTTCCCTACCCTCTATAGCACTGTGATCAAGCCTCAGTTCCTGCCTAAGTCTGTGTGTCCTAATCAATTTGTTTATAGCATTAATGCTGTTTCTATGAACTCTAGTTCTCCTAATATGTGGCATTTGAGATTAGGTCATCCAAATTCTCAAGCCTTAAAACTTGTTTTACATGATTGTAATGTTTCTTTCAATAATAAAACTACTATTGATTTTGGTTCAATTTGTTGTATAGGTAAGGCTCATAGGTTGCATTCTCCTGTATGATACACCACATATTTTCTCCCTTACAGTAATTTGTGGGGACCTTCCCCTTATACTTCAACCTCAAGGTTTAAGTATTATATGTCATTTGTAGATGTCTTTTTCAAGGTCACTTGGATTGGATCTATCTACTCAAGACCAAAATTGAGGCTATTTCTATTTTTTAAAAATTTAAAACCATGGCTGAATTGCAACATGGTCTTCCTATTAATGCTCTTAAATCTAATTAGGGAAGTGAATTTAGACCTTTTACTAAGTTCCTTAATGATCAAAGGATAATTCATAGAATTATTTGCCCTCACACTCATCATCAAAATAGTGTTGTGGAGAGGAAACACAGACACATAGTTGATATGGGTCTTACCTTATTATGCCATGCTTCTCTTCCTCTCGCATACTGGAACTATGCCTTTTGCACTACACTCTATCTCATTAATAGACTTCCTTCCGCCTCTATTTAGGGCCAGGTCCCCTACCAAATTTTGTTCAAAGTTAGACCTATCTATAGGTTTCTAAGAGTTTTTGGGTGTGCCTGCTTCCCACTACTCAGACCTGACCACTCTCATAAGCTAGACTTTAGGGCGTATGAATGTCTCTTTCTAAGCTATTCTACGTGTTACAAAGTGTATAAATGTCTCTCCCTTAGTGGTAGACTATACATCTCAAAAGATGTTTTATTCAATGAATTAAGGTTTCCTTATCAAGAATTGTTTACTACCTCAACTTCTATTCTCTTTTCCTCTCAAAGTGTTTCCTTACCACCTCTTCCCTTTAATCCTTCAACTCCCTTGTCTTCATACAAAACAATATCTCCAGACCCCTTACCTATACGTGAGTCCCCTGAAGCTTCTCCTAGTTTGTCCAATAATGTCTCATCTCCATCCTTGTATCAAAGTCCCTCCTTTGAAGAGTCTGTGTCTCCTTTTGAATTGTCTCAAGGGTCACATTCCTCACATGAAAGTCAGTCTCCCCACTTCAGTCAGTCTCTTGTCTCTAGCTCCACCCAGGTTAATTCCTCTAGTGAGTCAGATGGCATGAACACCTCTGATTCTTCTTGAGTATCATGCCCTTCTAGTCGTGTTCCTATCCCACCCAAGGTTGTACTTGTCTCTCATATCCCTATTAATTCTCACTATGCAAAACTAGACCCAAGTCTGGTTTTTCCCAACCAATACTTGAACCTAGACTCTTACTTGCCACCTCTGAGCCAAAAACTGTTAAGCAAGTCCTGGCTGACTTGCATTGGAAGGAAGCCTTGCAAGCAGAGTGTGATGCCTTACTTCATAATGATACTTGGACTCTTGTCACCCTAACTCCTCAAAGACAAGTCATTGGTTGCAAATGAGTCTTTATAGTGAAAGAGACTCATGATGGGTCTGTGCATAGATACAAGGCTAGACTTGTAGTCAAAGGGTTTCATCAAATGTATGGTTTTGACTTCAATGAAATCTTTTTCACATGTGGTCAAACCCATCATTTTGTCTATTGTTATTACCTATAAATGGTCAATTCAACAGCTTGATGTGAATAATGTCTTTCTCAATGGGCTACTTCCTGAAGAAGTGTATATGGAGCAACCCCAAAACCTTTGAGAGTTCTAATCCTTCCCTAGTGTGTAAGCTGAACAAGACTCTCTATGACCTTAAACAAACCCTTAGACAATGGCTTGAGAAGCATCAAACTGCCCTGCTCCAGCTTGGCTTCAATGCTAGCAAGTGTGATCCTTCTCTTCTCACCTATATCTCTCAAGGTCACACTATATATCTACTAGTTTACGTAGATGATATTATCCTGACACGCAACTCCTCATCACTCTTGTAAACCATTATCAACAAACTGAATGTGGCCTTTTCACTCAAACACTTAGGTGACCTAGACTATTTTCTTGGTATTTAAGTGAAGCAAACTCCTCACAACTCTCTCTTATTGACTCGGTCTAAATACATTAGAGATTTACTGCAAAAAATCAACATGCTTGAAGCTAGTCCTATCACCAGTCCAATGCAGTCCTCATACAAGTTAACCAAGACAGGCTCTGCTGCAGTGACTGATCCTTATATGTACAAGTCAGTTGTAGGTGCATTGCAATATGCCACCATAACTAGACCTGACATCTCTTACTCTGTCAACAAAATTTGCCAATTTATAGCTCATCCTCTTGAAGCTCGTCGGGGGACAGTCAAAAGGATCTTAAGATATCTCAAGGGAACAATTGATCATGGTCTTCTTCTTTCACCTCTTCCCACCATCTCTACTCCTTCCATTCGGGTTTTTTGTGATGCAGATTGAGCCTTTGATCTAGATGATAGAAGAAGTACTTCTGGTGCAACTACATTCTTTGGTCCCAATTTCATTTCTTGGTGGTCTAAGAAGCAACCAATGGTTGCTAGGTCCAGCACTGAGGTTGAGGACAAAAGCATTGCTCAGGCTACATCAGATCTTCTTTGGGTTCAAACTATTCTCAAGGAATTAGGCATCCTCACCAAAGTTCCTACTATTTTCTGTGATAATCAGTCTGCAGTGCCGTTGGCCCATAATCCTATCAAGAGGCACTCGAGGACTAAGCACATGGAAATAAATCTCTTTTTTGTCAGAGAAAAGAGGTATGGCCAAACAACTACAAATTCTCCACATTCTTGATACTGATCAATGGGTTGATTCTGTTACAAAGCCCTTGCCATCTACCAGATACTTAGCCCTCAAACACAAACTCAGGGTTGTTCCTCCCTATTAGTATAATTAGTAAACCTTGGATTAAAAAATGCTTAGGCCTCAAGACTGACATCTGTCAGCTTGAGTGTAAAAAGGAACCTGCTGTAACAGGTTAACAGGTCATCTGTTTTGTCAAGTATAAAAGCAGAACATATCCCAATTCTTGTAACTAACTAACGTTTTAGAAATCAAAAGTTAGTTAGAGTCTTAAAATGAAACTCTCAGTTCTACCTACTGATTCTAACATAAACTGACTAAAACAGGCTCTGCTGCAGTGACTGACCCTTACTTGTACATGTCAGTTGTGGGTGCCCTGCTGTATGCCACCATTACTAAGTCCGATATTGCATACTCTGTCAACAAGGTATGCCAATTTATGTTTCATCCTCTTAAGGCTCATTGGGTAGCAGTTAAGAGGATCCTTAGACACCTCAAAGGCACAATTGGACTTCTGCTATCTCCTCTTTCATCTTCTGTTTCCCCTTCGATTCAAGTTTACTGTGATGCAGACTGGGCCTCAGACCCTGATGACAGAAGAAGTACTTCTGGTGCTGCCATTTACTTTGGAAACAACCTCATTTCTTGGTGGTCCAAGAAGCAACCACACTGGGGAAAAGTAAAAAAGTCTCGCTCAGGTCACTACTGATCTTCTCTTGGTATTAGAGTAAGTATTAGGCCTAGGCTCAAGATTAACACATGTCAGCTTGAACATTGTCAAAACCTGCTATTGCAGGTCAACTAGTATGCTATATATAAAGCAGACAGTTGTAGCAAGTTGTAACTAACAATTCAGACTTTCAAAAGTTAGTTAGATTTGAAAATGTATCTCTCTACTCTACCTATCAAAAGTATCATGTACTAATTATTAGTTGTTTTGAAGTTTGAACTACTTAACTTTTTGAGTTAAGTCATTTTTAATCTCTGTTTTTAGCTTTTTGCAGCATTGTTCAGTTGTTTGAACTTGAGATTTTTCAGTTTAATGTCAGTCAATTTTTTAATATGTAGCTTTTTTTTTTGTGTAACATGTTTTATTTTAACTGCTTTGCGGCTTTTGTTATTTGTCCGCTTCGCTATCCAATATTTCTCATATCGGTTTTTTGGTGATCCGCTATGATCGCTTTTAACAACACTGAGTATTACATAGTAAGCTGAAGTATTTTTATGTCAGTTCTAATCTACAATTTTTTTTGTTAGAATGAAAAAGTACTATTTCGGCAAAAAAAAGGTGTCTGGATTTTTTCCCGAAGATGGTGCCATTTTCATGGCAAACAGAAGTACTTTGAAAGAATGTTTTCAGAGGAGTTTGTTTGGGTTGCCAGATAGTTTTTCGGGTTTCGTTAACAACGTCAAGGCAGGAATGATTTTGTTCCTTTTCGAATTTGAAGCAAGGAAGCTTTATGGGGTTTTTAAAGCGGTATCAGATGGTGGCATGAACATTGTTCCTCATGCATATGCTTCATCAGGAAAGCAGTACCCTTCACAGGTTGTAATCTTTATTTTCATATTATGCTTGCCTTTTCCAACTCAAATTCCCAAAGATTTGGCACAAATTGATTTTTTTTTTTTACGTGTGGCTATATTTTGCTTTTCCTATTATTTTTATAAGCTTTTATTTTTAGAATATTCTTATCTTTATGAGTTCATATATGTTTATGGTTTTGACCAGGTTAAATTCACCACAATCTTACGTTGTGACCCTCTCTTTGAAGATGAATTTTGTGATGTAATTCGGGATAATTACTTCACCACCTACAAATTCAATTTTGGTTTGTCTAAAGACCAGGTATTCTTTTTTTAAACTTTTGTTCGGGAATTATTGCACTGTTTTACTTTATCTATTCAAGAAAACATTGTGACCTTCCTTGTTTTACTGGTAGATTGAAGGTCTTATGTGGCTTTTCAATTCAAGAAAACATGAAGTTCCACACTCTCTTCACCAGAAGAGAAAGAAAAAAAGAAAGTGGGATTTTCAGATTATAGAAAACAAACTAATTAAAGGGAGGTTTACCAACACTCAGAAAAGGAAGCTAGTCTCTCACGACGGAGCATCAGTAACTGCTGAGCAAGAGGTGGAAAAGCTTTCTTTGTCTCGTGAGTCTTGTGGAAACTGTGAAAGCATCCAATTCCATGGTGATGCTTATGATCCTGAAAACCCTGGCTTTAATCATTCAGTAGGATCTGGGGCGCACTCTGCTGCTAGCTATGAATCACATGAGCTTCCTTCATTTCCAAAGAAGAAAGGAAACCTCCCTATTCTTGAGGAAGAGACTGAAGATTTTATACCATTGTGTTCAACAGACAATTCTGACCTTGAAGATGGAGAGCTTGATAATTTCAGCGAGTCTTCAGAAGAGAAACAGATAGGGTTAGATATGCTTGAGGGAAATGAAGTTTCTTATATCCCTGTACCACGATTTCTGATAAGTGATAAAGAATCTAACAGGTTATGTGACTCTTCACCCACTGCTGTAAGTAACTTACAGTCCAAAGATGAAACTGACACCCTTCCCTCAAAGGGTATGTATTCTGATAAAACCAAAAATAGAACCAGTGTGTTTTCAAGGTTAAATTTTTCGTCAGAGGGAATTACTTCAGAGAATCAGGATGATATCAATGGAAAGGACATCGCAAGGTATCACTATCAATATGGATATGAGAAAATGGAAGAGGTCACTCAACAGATTGAAGATGGCAGAATGTATAAAAGAGCGAGTGTGTTTATGCGCTTGACCAGTGTTTCAGATACTGTTCCCCAAATCCATTCCATGACAGGATTGGACCACAGAACTAGATGGTGGAAGAAGTAGGAAAGTAAATTTTCAGAATGTAAATAAACGTTTGAAGAAAGTGTTTTTCTTTTGTACTAATTACATGGAATGCTGGGTTCAGTATATAAACATGCAATAGTTCTCAATTTTAGTGAAAATGCCATTACTTTTTTAGGAAGGGTTCGAAATGACTTTAGCTGGTTTCACTAACTCTTATTCTTTTCTTCTTTTTAAAATGCCCATTGCTCAATCCCGGCCTTGTAATTATTGACCTTCAAATCACAAAATAGTATTGAACATGCATGCTCAATTGGATAATGATTTAGATTCAGATTGTCATTGCTCCATTGAATTGTATTTAACGAGAACAAAAAAAGAATTAAAACCTGTGCAAGAAAGAACGCCTATTCACATATGGTGTGCTCTGATTCAGATTTCCATACAATGATACCTTTATGGATAGAGGTGCTTATGAAAGGGGATTCATCTTTGACATGAAAGATGAGGACCTGGTCTTACTTATGAGAGCAGGCATGTCATAACATAGCAGAGATGGAAAATATTTTGCAAGCATCCTCTTCCCGACAACACTCGTGATGTGAAGGAGTTCTAGTCCAATCTGCGCAGCACATCCCAAAAGAAATTGGAAGTGTTGGTAAGAGAAAGCATCCTCTTCCCAACAACACTCATAACGTGAAGGAGTTCTACTCCAATCTGCGCAGCACATCCCAAAAGAAGTTGGAAGTGTTGGTATCCCAAAAGAAGTTGAAACAGTTGGTAAGAGAGAGATTAATCCTATATTTAGAGAAGACAATCAACATGGTTCTTGGAGTGAAGAGTGTTGGAAATTCCTAACAATCATTTTTTGAGAAGATGGATGATATGGATTTAGACGTGGTCAGAGAATGTTTGTGTCTTCTAGTAACTATTTGGTTTGGTAACAACAAATATGTTGAGAAAACTATTCTACGTCTTCAAAGGTTTGGTATCAATTCTTAAAGCACTCTTTAATGCCTACAGTCCACAATGAAACTATTAACAAAGGAAGGTTGATTTTGCTTTATTGTATCCCAACCAATTTCTCCATATAAACATTGCTAAGATTATTTGCCAAAAAATGCATGCTTGTGCAAAGAAAAAACATGGATGTTATACTTTTCCCCTGTTTGATTACTGCTCTCCAAGAGACGTGGAGTCCCAGCCAAACCAATTGATTAGATTTGTAACCCTCAAGTTAGTTCTGAGAAAGTTGTTGTCTCGAATTTGTTGTAAGAAAAAGGCTAGAAAAGCTAGACATAGATACACCAAAAGAAATCATAAGTCAATTGTTCAGGTAACAATGAAGAACTTTTGTGGAAAACTCTGCAATAAATGCAGATGGACTAACGAGAGTTTTATAGGTTTGTTAAAGACTAATACACTTGGCACAAAAGGTTGTACAATATCCCCAAGGTGAAGTGATGAACTGACCCCCAATATTTTCATAGCACATTTTGAGAGGTCAACCTGCTGAAGAAACCAACATCCAAGAGAAGCAACTTGAAAAGACAGATCAATCTGATTGTAATTTGGTGAAGAAACAAAAAAAGAAAAACGCTAAGAAAAAGAAGGTATCCTTTTTTTATGACTAACCACATCCCAGAGGTGACTTCTAATGCGCTACAGGGTGAAACATAAAAGAAAAAGAAGAAACCTAAGAAAGAAACAAGGAAAGACAAGAGTCCAACAAAGAGAACAAGAAAAAGATGAATGAAAGAAGAGGAAGAGAGATGAAAAAGCACAACCAACCCGAAAGAGCAGCATGATTCAAGCCTAATTGGTATCTCTAACCCATCATTTTTAGTTTGTTGCAAGTTTATTTTCTGACTTCCGATGCGCCATAACCCATCAGACTGACAGTGAGGACACTGTCTTTACTTTAAGTTTAGGGTGAAGGCACCTATTAGTTTAATTTCAATTGTGTTTGCATGTTCTAATTTCAATTATCAAACAATGAAATATTTGTGTTTTGTTTTTTATTTTGCTAAAAAAATGAAATGAAAAGAACAAAAAGAAATAAGTAAAGTACCCAACTTCATCTCAAAAATAGAAAAAATTATAAAATAACTTAAGAGAATTCTAATTGAACTGCTTAGAATATTGGAAACAAGGTCTTAATTACAAATTAATGCACAAAAATTGTGACCAAGTGATAACCCCAGCCAAAAGAAGTCAGAAAAGTAGTTGGTCTTTTAAAAAGTTTGAATTGTTCTAAAGTATGGAAGAAGATTCTTTGGAGGATTTAGTGTTTAGGGGATAAAAACACTAGTAAATATGTCTAGCCAATGGATAAAGTACATTTAATAATGCATGTTAAAATAAAGAGAAACACACAAAAGTGTGTAAAAAGGATGAAAATTTCAAAGAGCATTATGAATAAAGTTCTTGTGCTCGAAATTAGAGGCATGTGGATGTTTTCCCCATTAGTAACAAGTTAGACTAATTACAAGTGAGATCCAGTCAGGTGAAAAGGTGGAGCATCTAGGAAAAATTACTAAAGTAAGTGATGCAAGTGGAATCCTAAAGTTCAAAATGAACCACAAAGCCAAAACATAAAGTAAGATAGTTAATCCCATGCTGAAACTGGAAAAAAAATGAAACCTTGGACCATATGATAGAGTGACTAAACTATGATTTATGCTAACTATCTTGAATGAAAACTTTTGGCATGACAAGAAACATCATGGGCTACACACATGCATTAACAAAGCTAAGTTATAATAAAGACCAAGATGTGCCAATTTTTGGATGTATTCCTTTGAGAAAAATCCAGAGTTACACGAAATGTGTTCCTAGAATAAATATGAAGGAAGTATTTTTCTTCTTCCTGATATTATCTATCGCATCACCTGAGGACAAGTAATGATTCAAGTTTGGAGGTGTGATAACTCACTATTAGTGAGTGATTTAATTCCTTAACATTTGACTTTATTTTGTTATTAATAAGTTTTATTAGGATAATTTAAGTTCATTTTACTATTTTAAGTCATTTTGTGAACAGCACAAAAAGTTCTATCTTTTGTGTGTTTTTATGTGATTGTCATATGATAAGTTTTGGCACGAAAAACCAAGTGTCTTTAAATTTTAGCAAAGTCTTAGGTAAAAAGGAGTTTGCAAGGAATGAAGGTCCTTAGAATTAGGGAAAACGTGGAAACCATGTGAAGATTGGAGTGCAGGTGAGTTTGAATGGATAAGATCAACACTATAAGATAAAATTTTGCAAAAATTGATGCGCACATAATGGTGCATGTTTTTGTTTGTTTGCGCAACAGACTACCACATAACATGTTGTCCCCTGCATGCTGGAAGAAGTTGTACTACTTGAAACTGATTTAAAGGAAAGAAGAAGGAATATGTTGTGTTTGTTGGGCCTGTAGCAAGGAATATCCACAAAGCCCACGATCCAATGTCTCTCTCTCTCTCTCTCTCTCTCTCTCTATCTCTCTATCTATCTATATATATATATATATACACACACACACACACACACACACAAGAATCCAAAATAAATTAGGATGACTTCCTAACTTCATTTTCTCAATGCCTAATGCATCCCACATACGTCGGTTCCTATGCTTTTGCATCATCAGTACAGTTCTATCTCCAACGTTCAGTGACGAGAGGCAACGGATAATCATGTTTCAACTTTACCTGAACCCAATTATTGTTGTTGACAAAACCAACAACAATGTTTTTATGTCTGCTCGTATACATAGGTGGATCTAAGGTGAGAGGGAAAATGTGACGTTAAGTCTCTTTGACAGGGAGACAAATACGACATTGTATCTAGAAGCAATAGGGTAACCCATATCAGGAATCGTCATCCATTTATCAATACCCTGCACACCCAAGTGTTTTACTCCTAACATATTCCTAATTGTAGAGACTGTGTCATAAAACAAATTAGAAAACAATTGAGGGTGTTGATGAACTTGAGTATCTAAATGCATCTGAATCAAAGGTCGTGACCCTTCACCCCTATCCAAGTAAAACCGCAATAGTCTGAAAACCATAATTTTCATTGTCGCCCTTATCAACAATGTCATAAATGTATGGATGTAAGTTATCAGGAAAGTGAGACAAGTAAACATCTCTCGAAGATGTGGTGGATAGTTGACTTTTAGCTGACATACTTGACGATTGACATCCTCTTCGAGCCTTCACCATACTCTCATTGTGAAGGATCACGATTCACCTTACTTTATTGACCCTTTTTGCTCTTCTTAAATTTCATCTTTTGCTTGTACTTCACCGACGCTGGACACATAGAAGTTGTGGATGGATGTGCTAGTTCCCGAACCTTTTTTTCAAAACCCTCTGGCCTACTATACCCAAAGTACTGAAATATGTCTTCAACTCTTCACACTCTACTTATAAATCCAAATGTGTACCACTTCCTTATGACTGACATCATGATTTTCAATGTATAATTTATTCCAAAAAAACATGAATTGATTATAAAGGAACAAGAGTTCCTTATATTTAGAAACCGACAAGTTGACACACACATGGTAACCCATGTGTTGTTCTAATGAAGCAATCACATGCATCTTGGCCTACACCAACAAATTTTACCCTTTCTAGTTCCTTTCCAATGTGTTGTTTACATTATCTCGAAACAAAACGTGCAAGTTGACATAGAATGGAGTGTTATGCCAATGTTCAATGTTGGCCATACTTTTTTTGAAATAAGACTCTGATTGAACCTAACTGTAACTTCAACATGATGCTCGCAGCATCCCAATTTCGGCATAAATCTCCCCGATTTATAGTTAAAATGTTTTTAGTCTCCAATGAGAAGACTCCGCCCTAAAAAATATAAATAGAAATATATGTTAAACTATGTTTAGTAATGTATTGAAAATCAAAATGATGTGCGTGTACCTGTTCATTGTTGTGTTTCTTAAATGAGTGACTCTGTTTGTCCAAGCAACAATAAAACTTTCTTTATCAGATGCCAACCATGTTTCACTCATATACTTAACAAATAAAGGAATATC